TAAAGTTTGTGGCAAACACAAACGTTTTGTTCTACGACATAAAACACATCAGTTACAGCACACTCTTGAATTTTTCAATCGGTTATGCTTCTTTAAAAAGATGGTTGCTATCTAGTTGCTAAATGCTTAATGGGACTACAGGCGGTGTCCGAGACATTATACGTCATCCAGCTGATCTAGTCTGGACTCTGGAGCGCAGCTTGCTTGTGTTGGGCATTTGGATCTGTCTGTGATTTAGGTATTTTTATGAATAGTATATTATAGTTTGTAGTATTTGTCTAATTGGGAATTCAGATTGTGTGTAGATAATTCCTTCACTTGTAAAGGCTGCAGATTCATTTGTTGATCATTTATTTTAATAAACAATATTATGAAGATACAGCTCACCAGTGCAGTCTGTCTCTGTCCTGCTCTCAGTCATGCAAACGTGCGAATAAATGTGTAAGAATACATGCATGTTAACTGTCATTTTCACATGATCAAGTGATTTTTCAGCTTTTTTTTCTTCATCTGAACACTCGGTCATAACTGCCATGTTTACACTCCTCTATAAAATGTAGAGCAGATGTGACTGTTTGAGCTGCTTTTTACTGTACTTCGTGACAAAAAAGGAATATTGAACGTTGCTCTGCGTCCATGATGGAATTTGCAGGCATTTAATAGACTTGTTCCTCACGCCTCTTTTCTGTCGTGTGTTAAGGTAAGCAGGCTGTGTGCACGCGAGCTATACACTTATTTAAATATGTCTTATGATAATACTATGTAGGCAGATTTATACACAGTTTTAAAACTTTTATAACAACCGTAAAGCAAAACAGACGTATTTCCCACGTAAAAAACGATCCAAAAGGCACATAGAGATGTGTTTTTGCGTATTTGTTAATAATATATACCGTAGATTACAATATAAACAGGGAAATTAACTCTGTAATGGACAATATTTCTAAAAATGAATCATTGATTGATTGATAGGTTTACTGATTGATTGATTGGTTTGTTAACTGATTGATTGAGACTGACATTAATTGATTGGTTGATTGATTGAGACTGACATTAATTGATTGGTTGATTGATTGAGACTGATATTTGATTGGTTAATTGACTGACTGGTTGGTTAACTGATTGATTGATTGACTGACTGGTTGGTTAACTGATTGATTGATTGATTGATTGATTGATTGATTGATTGATTGATTGATTGATTGATTGATTGATTGATTGATTGATTGATTGATTGATTGATTGATTGATTTATACACAGTTTTAAAACTTTTAGAACAACCGTAAAGCAAAACAGACATATTTCCCACGTAAAAACGATCCAAAAGGCACATAGGTATGTGTTTTTGCATATTTGTTAATAATATATACCTTGGATTATAATATAATAAACAAAGAAATTGACTCTTTGTCATGGACAATATCTCTAAAAATAAGTCTGTCGTCACAGACGAACACCCCGAGGGCACTGTGGTCCGTTTATAGCCTAATGTTAGCTTTAAAATTCTTACGTTTGTATTTAAAATCCAAAAGTGCTCAAAGTTGTATTTTCGTTTGACGATTATCCGGCTCGACAAAACGTGTAAGTGTAATGAACAGTGTTTGAACACAGAGCTTATTATTTGCAATCTCGGAAAAGCCTATGGGAAAATCCCACAGGGATTGATTGATTGATTGATTGATTGATTGATTGATTGATTGATTGATTGATTGATTGATTGATTGATTGATTGATTGATTTGATTTGATTGATCGGGGTGTTCGTCTGTGACGACAGACTTATTTTTAGAGATATTGTCCATGACAAAGAGTCAATTTCTTTGTTTATTATATTATAATCCAAGGTATATATTATTAACAAATATGCAAAAACACATACCTATCCCATAGGGATTTTCAGGAGGGAACCAGTTTTATGCTAGCAACCAATTAGCCTACAAAATGACGTCATAGTTCCTCCACTCTATTAACACGGTAATAATCCTACTGAGATTTTTTTCAGTCCCTATTAAAACAATGATGACAGTACATAATATTGGTCCTTTTGCAACCTACTAAATTTTAGCTTAAAGTGACATTTAAAGGCTAAAGTAGGATCATTTGGCAAGTTAGTCTAATTCATGGATATATACATTAGATGTCGCCTACCCTGTTGTTGTCTATTGGACGGAATGCGTCAATAGTGCCGCCATCTTGCTACAGGGTAGCGCTCCTTTGAAATGGATGTGGGACCAAGATACAGTGGAGGACTGTGGCCATCCAAAGCCAAAGATATACACATATACACATATATCTATGATCGGGAGTTTTCCTGGATGTTAGTGTGTAATTTTTTTTTTTTTAATTACGAAAATTATAATTTTACATCACTTTTCTACATTGATGGATCAGTGACCGCACGGGCATTCCTGACAAAAAGCTTGTGTTTGTGTGTACAGAAATGTACTATCCACCCTCCCTGTTAAATGTGATCTAATCATGTCCTGAAACACAGCTCCTC